AATTTGGAGTCGATTTACACGTGTCCGTCCGTCCGTTGTCTGTCTGGCTAGAGCGCACGATAACTCTCGAAGGTAGCAACCGATTTCATTAAAACTTTGCACATCTTAGTATTTCTTCCATACATACAGTGGCGAGCAGAAACGAGTACATGTTTGCATTTCGGACACTTTTTACGTCATAAAAATTAAACTAAACAAGCAAATTAAAAAAATTTGGTTGCATTTTATTGAGTATTTTGTACTTAACAAAACAACCTAAATTTAAAAATCTAACTCTTAAAAATAACTAAGAAAAAATAAAGAAAACGAAATCAACCCCAATGTACTCACTTTTGCACGTCTGCATTTTTTAATAATGTGCATAAAAGGAATGTAAAATCACGTTTTTTTAATCTATTTTTGGTTTCCATTAGTTTTTAAAAAATATATATATAAGTTCTACATCATTTAAGTCCCGTTTACTAAAAAATTGTACAAAGTTTTGAACAAAAATCAAATAAATAACTAATAATAATTTAAGAATATATATATATATATAATAACCACTGAAGAGTACATTCGGAAAAATCTGATAAATCTGTTCTACCCTGGAAATTGCAAAGGGACTTAAATTGTGCCAATTATTGGTCATATGGGTACAAAAACGATGTTCCGTTTTTCCCAATCCTTAAATTAGAGGTCGTACACCGCTTATAAGTTGTGTGGACCCACGTCTAATGATAAGGGAAATGTAATTTGATAAGTTTTAACACCAAAATATGCTTCGTAAGTACTCGTCAAACCTGTTAGTCATTGAACGGCGTGCAAAGCACTTCCCGACATTGGATATAGCAGCATTAAAAAAGACTAAAAACCTGTATTATAGGAAAAACTGGAAAATAAGGTTAAAGACTTTTCAACTAGACCAAAAGTTGAACTGTGGTCGACTGGAAACGTGTGATCGGGTCCGACGAATCCAAATTCTACCGTTTTCAATCCGACGATAAGCATTATTGGTGATGAAAACTAATTCAAAGGCCCAATGTGAAGCACGGTTGAGGAATTGTCATGGTATGCGTAGGCTTTAACTTGTGGGTCCTGGACCGATGTTAAAAAAATTGACAATATAATAATGAAAGAAGTCCATTTAGATCATTGAAAAGTCATATCAGTCAGTTTAGGTAGCTAAGTACGCCTATTCTGTAGAAGAAGTTATTATGTGCAGGACGGTGATCAAAGATATACGTCAAAATTCGTGAGAGGGATTTCTTCGTGAGCAAAATTTTGAATTAACACAGTGGTCGCAAAGAGAGAGGTGGGAGTCATATCAGTCAGTTTAGGTAGCTAAGTACGCCTATTCTGTAGTAGAAGTTATTATGTGCAGGACGGTGATCAAAGATATACGTCAAAATTCGTGAGAGGGATTTCTTCGTGAGCAAAATTTTGAATTAACACAGTGGTCGCAAAGAGAGAGGTGGGACAGTACCAATCAGCTCCTAATAATTTAGACGAACATTGGTAGTGGATCTGAGGTGATTGGAAGAATAATTCCAATGAAATTGTACTAAAATTGGTTGAAAATGTGCCAAATTTCAAAAATCATACATTAAAAATATAAAACTATGGTATAAATAATAAAAATATTCAAATTCTGCAAATTTGTTCAAAAGTGCAAAAGTGAGTACATTGCAGTTGATTTACTTTTCTCTGTTTTTTTCTTAGAAATTAAAGAGTTAAATTCTTTAACTTTATGTTGATGTGTTAGCTACCAAATACGTTATAAAATAAAACCAAAATTTTGGAATTTGCTTTTATATTTTTATTTTAATGACGTAAAAAGTGTCCAATGTACAAACATGTACTCATTTCTGCTCGTCACTGTAGTTTAAGTTCGAAGATGGGGAATATCGGTCCACTCCTTCTGGTACCTCCCCCACAAAATGGCCAAAATCGTGCTAAAAATTAATTTTTTTTATGACTATCCGATTTTAACGAAAATTTGTACAACATATTATCTTTACCAAGCCTAGATCAAGTTTGAAGATGGGACCCATTGGTCCACTCTTTCTGATACCTCTCCCACAGAGGGTCAAGATTTTCAATATTTATAATACCAATATCAGGCTAATGGAAAGTTCGTTTTGAACCAAACTTTGCACAACCTATTACCTTTACCATGCCCAGATCAAGATTGAAGATCGGACCCATTGATCCACTCTTTCACCTCCTCCACAAAATGGTCAAAATTGAGCTACAAATTAATTTTGTAATAACATGCAAACGGACTATTCGATTTTAATGAAAGGAAGATGGTACCCATTGGTCCACTCCTCCTAGTACCTCTCCCACAAATGGTCAAAATTTTCAATATTTGTAAATCCAATATAAGCCGAATGGAATGCCACATTTGCATCAAACCTTGCACAACCTATTATCATTACCAACCCTAGATCAAGTCCAAAGATGGGAACCATTGGTCCACTTCTTCTGCTACCTCCCTCAAAAATGGTCAAAATTTTTAATATTTGTAAATCCAATATCATGCGAATGGAATGTCCGATATGAACCAAACTTTGCACAACCCATTTTCTTTACAAAGTCTCGATTAAACCCAAAGATGGGGCCCATTGGTCCACTCCTTCTGGTATCTCCCCTACGAATGGTCAAAACCTTGCACAACATATTACCTTTACCAACCCTATACCAAGTCCGAAGATGGGATCCAATAGTCCACTCCTTCCGGTACCTCCCTCACAAATGGTCAATATTTTATAAACATTTATCAAGATTAAATCGACCTCTTTGATAAAAACATATTTCTAATATAAACCTAATAATAAAATCTGTGTGTAATTCCGAACATCCTGCTGGAAAAGGTCATACGAGAGGCAAAAGTGCCAAAATGGGTCTGGCAGTAAACGGCGAGAAGACCACCATCAGCTTGGTCTTCTCGCTGTTCAACGCGCAAGACGTCCAGTAGACTCGGACGAACTGTGGAACTTTAGTACTACAGCTTCGAGGTAGTCAAAGATTTTATATACCTTGGTACCGCCATAAATAAAACGAATGACATCAGTTTTGAAATTCGGAGAAGGATAGTGATGGCTAACATATGCTACTATGGTCGGATCAAACAACTCATAAGCAAGGCCACCTTCCGCCAGACCAAACTCACACTCTACAAGACGCTGATACTACCCGTTACGCAAGCAGATGAGGCAGCTCTTAAAGGGTTTGAGAGAAAAATTCTCCGGAAGATCTATGGGCCGATCTGCGTTGACGGTGAATATCGCCGTCGAATGAACCATGAGTTGTACCAGCTATTCTCGGACATCGGCATTGTTAGACGTATTGAACTGCAGCGACTTCGTTGGCTAGGTCATGTTGTGAGAATGAATGAAGATGCCCTAGCCCAGAAGGCATATAAAAGCGAACAACCTGATCGTTCACGCAGAAGGAGGCGGCCACGAATAAGATGGAAAGATCAATCATATGGTCTTTCAAATTGGAAAAATTGCACAAAAGACCGACGCGCTTGAAAATTTTTTTTATGATCGGCATATGGAACGAAAATTATGTCACAAGACAGCTAAGTAAGTAATTCCGAAAACCTCAGCAAACCGTAGATTGACATTGTATTAAAACTTTTTTGTGAAAATGCAAAAAATATTGAGAAGTACAAATGCCAAAATTAGATGACAATACTTCAAAATCAACATAACAGCCAATCAGAAGTAGGCATTCCTGTTTACCATTTTTACTCGGCCAAATTTCTCGAACTGTGGAACTTTAGTACTACAGCTTCGAGGTAGTCAAAGATTTTATATACCTTGGTACCGCCATAAATAAAACGAATGACATCAGTTTTGAAATTCGGAGAAGGATAGTGATGGCTAACATATGCTACTATGGTCGGATCAAACAACTCATAAGCAAGGCCACCTTCCGCCAGACCAAACTCACACTCTACAAGACGCTGATACTACCCGTTACGCAAGCAGATGAGGCAGCTCTTAAAGGGTTTGAGAGAAAAATTCTCCGGAAGATCTATGGGCCGATCTGCGTTGACGGTGAATATCGCCGTCGAATGAACCATGAGTTGTACCAGCTATTCTCGGACATCGGCATTGTTAGACGTATTGAACTGCAGCGACTTCGTTGGCTAGGTCATGTTGTGAGAATGAATGAAGATGCCCTAGCCCAGAAGGCATATAAAAGCGAACAACCTGATGGTTCACGCAGAAGGAGGCGGCCACGAATAAGATGGAAAGATCAATCATATGGTCTGGGCCGATGTGTATCACAGAGAAAACTAATATACGATGATATTTTCTTTGCAAAATTCTATCATTATGTTCATATGGAAAGAAAACAACTATCAAACTTTTCATACCTTCTAAAATTAGGTTCCTTAAATCGGTCGGGACATTTATATGGGGACAAAGTTATAACATTATGTGGTATTAGGTTGTCCATGCTATTTAAAAATAATGTTTAAAATTACAGCAACACAGTTTGGAAAAAGGGGGTAAGCATTTCAACATACTAGAAACTAGAAAGGTATGTACAAATTTCAAAGTTCCATCTTAAATCGTGGAGGGTACAAAAAGCTGACTTAATATTGCGCTTACAAATATATAGGGAAACATTTGCATTTAAATTTGTTAAATTTATTTTCAAAAAATAGTATAAAAATCAAATTGTAGATATTCAGTACTGCAGTGTTACTTTAGGTGTGCTCTGGTAAATACTAAGGTATTACAAAAATCGGTACACTCCACCTTACGGTGAAGGTATAAAAACAAATCCGAAATGCCGAAAATTATACATCGACAATATTGCTAGGCAACACAACTTTAAATTTTTGCTTTATATTTCTATGTTGTCAATCTATTTATAAATAGCAACCTATTCATATGATATCTCTAGGATCCTCCACCATCTTACATGTCTTAGAATTATTTAATTCAAAATAGTGGCCTGGTTCTTCTGAAACCGTTCTATATCATAAACCAACTCACCTGGTCACGATAAACTAATGCAAGGATATTTAGCATGGTTGCCACGTCTGGATGGTCATGTCCGCTTGTTTTCTCGAGGTCTTCAAGTGCTTGTTTGCATAAAGGTACAGCAACTTCATATCTATAAATAAAATAAACATATAAAAATTATAAATAAGATATACATTATGTCTCAATTTTAGTTTTAAATTCAGTCGTACGATTTCTTGACCTCAAAAGTTAAATACATGTATTTCAATGAACGTTACCCAAATACGCATGGCATAATTATGGAAGGTAGTCTTATTTGAGAAATGTATAATGGCATCCCTTTTTAACATGGAATTAACATATCAAAATGAAAAATAAATTCCATAAAATTTCATATTTTCATATTTTCATATTTTCAAAAAATTAAACAAAATATATGTTCCAAAGCTACACCTTGCTCTCAAGATTTAACCATGGTTTAAGAGGCAGGGAATTTCGAAATGTCACAAGAGACACTTGGGTATGAAAGCTTTTTTGGAAAGAAGCAATAAATAGCTTCTGTAGAGAGTATCCAAACAAAAAACTGAGGAAACTGATGAGGATCATTAGCGAGATACGAAACTATAGTATTCCCTATCTTACCCCTCGGGGGACAATGCCAAACATTCCCCACTTATAAAAAATAGTTTTTTTATAAAAAAAAAACTGGGATTCAGCCAAAATATTTTGCAAAAACAAAATACAAATGGTATCCCAAATAACCCGCCAACACTACTGAAGTTGTAGACGCAGGCAAAAAAGTGTATTTGGCAACCCTGTCGTGATTGCTGATAAATTTTGTTTTTGATTAAAAATATTTATATTGTGTGTTTAAAAAGGTGTTAACAGTGTTTAAAATTTATTTTTGATTTGTCTGTGCTAAACGGTGTAGTGAATTTTTGTGATAAATAAAAACAATCAATTTATTTTCTAATTGGTAGTCTGTGTTCCATTCCCTGTTTGTTTCCCTTGTTACATTTCTTCATTTGTTTGTTGTAACATTATTCTTGTTTATTATCTTAATGTCTTCTCAAAACAGAGTTGCAAATAATACTTATTTTGTAGAAATCAAAGGATTACGAATTCCAGCTACTGTTTTAAATTTTATCTTTTTTTACAAATATTTGAATTAAAATATTTTTACAATGGCCTGTCCGTATGAATTGTGTAACATTTCTAACGATGGTGAATTGTGCGTTACATGTTGGTTTTGCTTAAACCAGTGACATCTTAAGTGTGCTCGTATTAACGCGAAAGTAGTTGATGCCATTAGAGACAATGTTGGCGTTCGTTGGTGCTGTGTTCACTGTAGAAAACTTTCTGCCGATTTCTATAATTTTGTAAATCGGAGCTTGTATCCGTTAAGAAAAACTTTACATCATTATCAACTCGCTTGGAAAAATTTTCCAGGAACCAGAAACTCTATGAATTTGTATTTCTGGGCAGAAACGAAAGAAGTCTTCGAAGAAGGCACCAACTAAAACGAGCCTATTCGTAAAGCCTCTGTTTCTGCTGGGAATTTTGCGTCACAAACAGCGTCAGATAATATTGATAAAACTGATGCTGTTAATGATCAGACATGTCGCGTCTCATTCAACCACGGAAGCGAGCAAATATATAATGGATGTGACAATACCTCATAACGCTGTGAGTATTGATAACGGTAGTCTTGAGAAAATCGCCAAATCTACTCATAGTACACAGGCAATTCCCCACTACCGACCAAAACACCATTATCAATGGCCCCTGTCATGAAAATGGTCTTTGTGTCTAGGTTTGCGCCTGATACCTCGGATGATGATATAAATTACTATATCAAATCAAAAATAAATTGTAATTATTTTCTAAAATGCTACAAGCTTCGATTTCCAAGTTTGATATCGAAAGATTTTTGGCCTGCTAGAGCGTTTGTTAAAGAATTTCTAGAAAGATCAGATAATTTAGCTCATTTACCTCAGAAAAAAATAAATAATCTATCTACCATTTGCTATCAGAATGTAAGGGAGTTAAACACTAAATTAACTCGTTTATATCGTTATAGAATCTTTGATCTAGTATTTGTAAATTTTACACAATTATTTGAGTTAATTCGAATTATTGCTTATGTACCCCGGAAGATAATCATCATCCATTATATACATTATATATAACCATGAACCATAATTCCACAATTAATGAATGTTCATGTAACTCATTTAAAAATTTTCTTAAATATAAAAAAGCAAATTTTCAAAAGCCGAATTTTCTTATTTCGTCTGTTAATTGGACAACTGCATGTCAATGTAAGAATCACACCGATTTTGATTTTATAATACATATATTTTATAATACTCTAAAAATAAATGTATTTCAGAATGTGTTCCAACTATTAGAATTAGAAATTCTGACAGATATCCATGGATTTCGCGTGAGTTATCAAGTATAAAAAATTAAAAAAATAAACTTTTTCGAAAATATAAGAAGTCAGGCTAATCCATAGACTACGCTAACTATTCTGTCCAAAGGTCCAAATATAACACAGAATCCCGTAGGTTGTATAATAATTACCTCAACAAGATCAAAAATAATTTTAAAACTAATCCGAAATCATTTTATGAGTTTGTTAACTTAAAAAGAAAAGTCTCCTCAAAACCCACAATTTTGAAATGCAACAATAAGAAGTTTGTAAAAAACTCTGAAATAGCAGAATGTTTTGCAAATTTTTTCGCCACTACTTATTCATATGCAGTTTGTTCAAACATAAGTTCATATCCTTATGAGCTATCCAAAATAGATGAAATAGATATGCCTTTTTTAGAAAGTCAAGATGTTGCTAAAAATTTACGTACTCTAAAACCAATTAAACTTCCAGGTCCAGATGGTATACCTAGCATAATATTGTTCTGACACTTTGGCAACGCCTCTTACGTTGCTATTTAATTATTCCTTAAAATTTGCTTATTTTCCTACTATATGGAACAAATAGTACCGTTAGACAAATCAGGTAGTCTATCAAACGTCTCAAACTATAGAGGAATTGCAAAATTAAGTGATATCCCAAAATTGTTTGAAAAATTAATTACTGCTGTCATTTAAAACAAAATTCAATCCAATTTAAGTCCATATCAATTTCGTAGTGGTCTTTCAACTATAACAAATCTTATACAGTTTACTTCAATTGTCATAAAGGTGTGTTTGTTCAGCGAAATCAAACTGATACCATTTATTATATAAATAACATAATATGTGTTTCAGTATATACTTAGTCAATTGGATATCATGATGAAGGATGTTTCTCAAAATCGATTAACGTACCTGCAAGTGTTCCACAAGGAAGTCACCTCGGGCCGGTTCTTTTTCTATTGTTTATAATTGATTTGCTAAGTTATTAATTACCTATAGTTCTGATAAACAAGCCAATTTACTCCAAAATTATTTAAATAGTCTTTTTCAATGGTGCAGATTAACTTGTATGGATTTAAATTTGAACAAATGTAAACATATGCGGTTTTCTAGAAATTCTTCATTGATGAGGCAATGCAATATTAACGGTTCGGTTTTATCAACAGTTGAAACATTCCAGGATCTTGGTATTTTAATGGATCCAAAGTTAAACTTTAACAATCATGTAATTTCTATGGTAAATAAAACATATGGTGTATTAAATCTTGTAAAACGGTGTGCCAAAGAATTCTCGGATCCTTATATAACAAAACAACTATATACGTCTCTTGTTAGATCCATATTAGAATATGGTTATGTTTGATGGGATCCTCAATATGCAATATATTCCGAATCAGTGCAGGAACAGTTCTTACTTTTTGCACTAGGGGTATACATTGGAATAGTGATTTTTGTGTTGCAATATATTCCGATAAAATCGAATCAGTGCAGAAACAGTTCTTACTTTTTGCAATGTGGGGTTTACATGGGAATAGTGATTTTTGTGTTGCAATATATTCCGATAAAATCGAATCAGTGCAAAAACAGTTCTTACTTTTTGCACTGAGGGGTTTAAATTGGAATAGTGATTTTGTGTTGCCTTCTTACACTAGCAGGTTAAAATTAATTCGGTTACCTACATTAAAAAGTAGACGTATTATGTTGAACACTATGATGGTACTAAAAATATTTAATGGTAATGTACCCTCTGATTTCCTAATTTCATATATTAGAATAAATGTTCCTTTTCGATCTAGTAGATATTATCAACTATTATATGTAGATCTTCATCGTACAAATTATTATTCTATGGGAGAACCACTCTGTAAAATTTGTATTGATTTTAATTCTGTGTACTCTAATGTAGATTTTTGCAAGACTGTTGAACTTATAAAATCAAATATAATTGTATTTTTAAATGAGTAGTGCAACTTAATAATAAACTGGCTGTTGGAGTAGATTCTGTAGCTGGAGGATTATGGTGTGTACGCAATCCCTACGAAAGGGGAGGTCGCCCCCTCGGTCGGCAGGGGTGGGAAAGTGAGGCGTGGGAAGGTTCGATAAAAAAATCACGATCACACTGCTTGGTTTATTGCTTTAACTAGCAATACCAACAACAAAGTACGTTCCCACGATAATCGGATCTACGCTCCGGAACGACCCGAGTCATACTCGGCCAGGGATTGTCAACTCACCAACAGCTGTACAAAACAATTGTTTTTCCCCCAGGTGAGCAAACCACACCAGCCGATTTGCTCAAGATCCTGTTGATCATGGCTGGTATTAAGCAGAACCCTGGCCCCACTTCCACCGAGGTCACTTTCTGCTCCGTGTGTCACAGTAGGATTACGCGTAATCTTGTCCAGGTGCAATGCAGTCAGTGCCTGGGTTTGTGTCACCAAAGGCGTTGCTCTGGCTTCTCAGCTTGTGGCAACAACTGGTGATAACGCTGGAACATCCCGACACATCTGGAATTATTCAGTTTGCAGGAATGCCATCAAGAGGAATATTACATCTGTTCGTTGCAACAGATGCAATTATTGGTGCCACATGAGAAGATGCACTAATGCCCTCTAATCGAGATTGGTCGGTAGACTTTTTGTGGCAGACTGCTGTCTAAATACATCAACCAGCAGCTCACCAATCTCGGTGAATAACACCTCTCCCAGCATAACCACATCAGCACCTTCC